AGAAGTAGGAAAAAAGATTCGTTGCTTATGCATAGATAATGAAGGAGTATAACTCATGTGAGTTCTTCCAATATCTACGATAATATGAAATACGTCACCAATTCACTTATGCCAACACTCCACAACAGAACGATGTAATAGAAAGAAAGAATTGACATCTTGCAGAGATATGTCAGAGTATGCTACATGTGAAAAATGTACCAAAAAGGTTTTGAGTTGAAGCTATGAGAACTGCAGCTTATGTGATCAACAGGCTTTCTCAACTAAGGTTAGAATTTGTTTCACCCTTTGAGAAATTGTGGGATACGATACCTATAGGAGTTTGTATTTGTTCCAAGTCATCCACCCCATTTAGAATCAAGAAGTGGCAAGCAAGTAAAAGAGAACCAAGAAGTGGCAAGCAAGGAAATAACCAAGAAGTGAGTTCCATTAAGTGTGAGTGAGATATAAGGTCTTTGTGAGGAATGTGAGTTTTTTAGAGTTTGTCTCTAAAAAGTAAGAGAGTGTCATAACCTTTAAAATTGTGTCTTCGAGAATTTGTGCGTTGTAATATTTGTGAGTGTAATACAAATAATTTGTTTACTTATTTTGTCTAACACTTAAATATTAGAGTTGTGTACTCTACTTTTCTCAATTGTTTAAAAGCAAATTTCAACCTTCAGGCGATGGTTGTGGTACCTACAAGAGAAACTTGATGATAAGCGAATCTAGCTTGTATATGTAGCTAAATATTTATAAGACAAATATATTAGGAAACTGATATTAGCACTCTAAAAATCTCATTTTGCACACCTTACAAGTGTATTTTTCTGTCTAATTATAGAAAGTTTGGAATGCCAAATGAGTTTTTTGAGGTGCTAATAACAATTCCCATATATTGTTGCCCTATATTTTACATGGCATGCTTGACAAGCATACTATTAATCTGCAGAACGGCAATATATTTTAGTATGATAGTACTTAAATCAACAGTAATGCCAAACCATGCGTAAGAAATCAATTGAGAGAGAGAGAGAGAGAGAGAGAGAGAGAGAGAGAGAGAGAGAGAGAGAGAGAGAGAGTAACTGTGTATTGGATCATCAGAAACATTGGCAAAGTCTGTTTTGGATGAGAGCAATAGCAATGCAATGAAGAGAATCATGCAGACAACGCAGGCCTTGTGAACCATTGTTTTAGGTATATGTACGCAAAAGAATTTGAGATTGGAAAGGAAAGTATGAACGCAAAAGAGCAGAGAATAATTTGTGATTGATTTACTTGATTATTTGCAGTATCACAGATTGTATATATATACATGTTACATCAGTTGACTTTGTAAAGCCATAGAAGGCAAATATTAGAATACAATACAATAGTAAAGACAAAGACTGAGTGAATCGTGCAGTGCAGCAAATCACGTCCTAATGGCAGATTAAATACGACCAAGTACATGTCTCATTAAATACGTTTTTAATTTTTAGTAAGGCTAAATAGCCAAAATGGTCCCTGAGATTTGCATAACTCATCACTTTGGTCCCTAATATTTCAAATCAATCAAAGTGGTCTCTGAGATTGTTCACCATCCATCATTTTGATCATTCCGTTAAAAACTCCGTTAAGTGTCTCGGAGCTCTTGGCCGGAAGTTTGGGCAATTTTCAAAGCTTCGTAACTCAATCGTTTCTTAACCAAATTCGACCCATAATATATCAAAATGAAGATAGGAAAGTGTAGAATAAGATTATACCTATTTGGAAGCCCAATGGTTGCCGGAGATGGCCGGAAAATAGTCTCAAAGTTGATTGGTCCGAGGGAAAACTGGAAAACACGTCGGAAGCTGGGTTAACTTTAAACGTTCATAACTTCTTCAATACTAAATGAAATCAAGTGATTAAAAAACGAAAATCATACTTCTCTGCCACTTTCAAGCCGTTTTCCGGCCAAACCATGACGAGTTAGCCGTAAAAAAGGTATCATTCTCTTTGTCTTGTCGAGAAGTATGATTTTCGTTTTTGAATCACTTGATTTCATATAGTATTGAAGAAGTTATGAACGTTTAAAGTTAACCCAGTTTCCGACGAGTTTTCCAGTTTTCCCTCTGACCAGTCAACTTTGAGGCTATTTTCCGGCCATCTCCGGCAATCATTGGACTTCCAAATAGGTATAATCTTATTCTACACTTTCCTATCTTCATTTTGATATATTATGGGTCGAATTTGGTTAAGAAACGATTGAGTTACGAAGCTTTGAAAATTGCCCAAACTTCCGGCTAAGAGCTCCGAGACACTTAACGGAGTTTTTAATGGAATGATCAAAATGATGGATGGTGGACAATCTCAGGGGCCACTTTGATTGATTTGAAATGTTAAGGACCAAAGTGATGAGTTATGCAAATCTCAGAGACCATTTCTACTATTTACCCTTTTTAGTAATGGTATTTAGTTATTTGACATTTACACCAAATAGTTAGTCATTTGACTTTTGTATATATCAAATAATTAGTTATCTGACATTGAACTTAGTATTTCCCTTCATGCTGATTAGTCAAGGTCGTTGCCCCATGATTGCGATTTATGAGACTCAACTCTTCCAGAAACCAAACCATTCCACGGTCATATATTGAAAATCAAATAAGTACAGCAAAAGAGAAAATCAAATAAGTACAGCAATAGATTATAAGTAAGAAAATAATAACTATGGTATAATTGGTCCTCAAGTCAAATGGTACGCCAAAGTAAAACTACCAAGTTTTTTTTGGCCATAAGGTAACCAGGGTCCTCTCCTGAGCAGATGGAGAGGATCCTTTTGACCAGGCTCATCGGGCCGTTCATTTTTTATCCAACGGCTACAAACAGAGGACCCCTTTAAAAGTTATAATAATTATAGCCGTTGGATAAAAAATGATCAGGAGGATCCTCTCCATTTGCTTAGGAGAGGATCCTTTTTGAAATTTTACCATCATTGCAACAAACATACACAACCGGATGCACAAATTTACAGAGAGCACACCCCCTGCAATTGCCGAAGTTCAAACCCAGCCAAGCCCCAGGAACATAACCGTAAACAAATTGCATCATCCTCAAACAAACACCCCACAGATCAAGTTTGCATCCACCAAGGGAAGGAAGCCAATGGGAAAAAACCTCCCACAGGCAACAGTGCTGAGAGCGACACACAAATGGAAGGTGGTGGTGTAACCACCTGAGCCCAAGCTCTCCACTCCTTAGAAAGTCGTGAAACACAGGTAGAATGATAACGTTACAGATCGAAACAATGGAATCAAGATCGGATGAAGTCACGCGGGAGAGAAAGAAAATGATTTGAGTAGATGCATGGAGGTGGAAAGATTATGGGGGAGGATAAGAAAGGATAGATTGGAAAAGGAGAATTTCCGATCGGGGGCAAAGGCAAGTTAAATCAGAAGCCCAAGGGGGTGGATGACAGAGGAAAAACGGGTAGGAAAAACAAAGAACAACAGAGGAGGAAAGTAGGAAGAATAACAGGGAAATGGGCTGCCACTGACCCTAGCCACTGCTAGGGTGACACACCCGACCTCAATATCCTCCAAATGCCAGGGCAGGCACGTGCTGGCCAACACCCGAGAATGACAAAGCCATATTAACATGCATGAAAGTTATGAAGAATAAACGAACGTAAATGAAAACACATAAATTTAACTAATATGAATATGCAATTGTGGTCGCCTGTGCTCTTATGGCAGCCGATGAAGAATTTTTCAGTGACTTACGACGGCATGTGGCTGCTGGAGCCGCCACCTTGCGACAATGCGTGAGGGCGCATGGGGTGGCGCGTGACTGTACCCAAGGTCCCTTTTTATGTTTTTCAACATCCCGAATTAGTTTATGACGCCTGTTTCCTGAAATTCAATCGTTTGAGTGTAGTTTTGTTAATTGTACACTTTATGTGTTTAGGTGACACTATTAGCGGCGATTCCGTCATTTCTATTTCATACGGCTATATGACGATAGAGTATCTGTGAGTGGATCCCTTCTAAAATGCATGTTTTAATAGTAGAAATGCATACATGAAATGCATAATTTAATGATTACGTTTTATGAGATATTATGCTTACTGAGAATATTTTGGAATACCATATTTTATCGAACTCATGTTCTTTGTAGTATAGATGATAGATAAATTTATATTGCTTATGAACATGCTTTTGCACACTTTTTTATAGTATAGATGATGAATGACTTTATACTATAAAGATGTTTTTGAGATATATGTACCTATGTTTGGAAAGACTATGTTCAATGGTTTTGTGCTTATCTATTGGTCACTACTCCGCCATGGGCGAGGTATATGGTTGTTGGCTGTGGGTCGGGAGAAATAATCTTTGGCTTCGGGCCTAGAGACATGGAGCTGGCATTGGGCCAGGAAAAATAATCTCTAGCTACGGGCACAAAGACATAGAAGCTGGTATTGGGCCGGGAGATATTGTTATTGGATACCACTATTTATCACACTATATACGAGATATGTTTTGGAAAGGTTTTATGGCATGCTAGGGTTTCGGAAACCTACTACGTATTATGCTATTGATGTTTTCATTAAAACTTTGGGAGTTAGTATGTTGATAACTTTTTCAGTATTATATATATATACATACATACATACATATATATATATATATATCAATTTGGTACACTCATGTTTGTTCTGCACCCCCTCAGGACATAGAAACGAGGATTACGACCTGAGCTACAAGGCATTCCCCTACTAGTGACATCGTGCCATCTCTTCTACTTTGATGTCATTGTAATAGCATCTTTTGTTGTATTCTGAATTAGATTATGCTCTGAACATGTTATGCATTACCATTATGTTTTTTTCATTGTTGATAGTTGAATATTACTTCATTATATTAGTTTTCGAACAACATTTATATGCATGTTTTCCATGTTCTCGGCTTACGCATTAATTAAATGGCTTTCGTCACCCTCGGGTGTCGACCAGCACGTGGCCATTTTGATGTCCCACGGACATCGGGATCATAGTATATCACAGTGGAAAAGGTAGCACAACATCCATATCTTTCAAAATGTTTCGTATCTATGCTACATCATCTACAGTGTAGGCTAATGCCTTATACTCAGCTTATGCAGAACTCCTTGAAACTAAATCATGCTTCTTTAACTGCCAAGACATTAGATTATTCCCAATGTAGACTACATAACCAGTGACTGACCTCCTTGTGTTCAAGTCTACAACCCAATTTGAATCACTAAATGTAGTGATTCTCACTTCTGTATCAGTTGAAAATGTTATACCATTCTGCATAGTTCCTTTTGGAAACCTTAAAATCCTTTTAACTTCCCTTAAATGTACCTCTGTAGGTGAAGCCATGAACTGACGTACAAAATTTACTACATATGCAATATCTGGCCTTATAAAGGTTAGATATTGCAAAGATCCTACAATACTTCTATACAAACCTGGGATCAATCAACACTTTTCCTTCAAGGGCTAGCATTGGATTGTGTGGCTTACATAGTGTTGATGCTGGCTTACAAGATTCCATTCCAGCTTTATGAAGAAGATCTTTGACGTACTTAGATTGATTTACACAGATATCACCATTCTTCTTGTAATTGACTTGCAACGCAAGAAAGTATGTTAACCTGCCCATATCTTTGAGTTCAAACACCTCAGATAACTCTGTGATGACATTTTGCACCTTACTTGAATTAGAACCAATGATTATAATATCATCTACATATAACAGTAGTATGATAACATCACCACCACACTGTTTGACAAATAAACTTGAATCAGATGCTGAAGCTTTAAATCCCATTGCAGGTAGGTAGCTTGTGAATTTGGAGTTCCAAGCTCCTGGAGCTTGTTTAAGTCCATATAGAGACTTGATAAGTTTGCATACTTAGGATGCATTAGTCATATCCACAAAACCCTGACGTTGTTTCATGTAAATATCCTCTTGCAATTCACCATGCAAAAATGCATTTTTGATGTCTAGTTGTCTTAAATCCCAATATTTGATTGCATCCAATGCCAAAAGTATCCTTACTGTGGTGTGTCTCACAACATGGCTAAAGGTTTCTGAATAATCAATCCCTTATTCTTGAGAGAACCCTTGTGCCACTAGCCTAGCTTTATGCCTTGAGATTGTACCATCTGGATTCTTTTTGAGTTTGTATACCCATGTGCTGCCAATAATGGATCTATCATCTGCTGGTGGTGGTACCAATTCCCAAGTTTGTTGAGCACTTGTTTCCACCAGAGAACCTCCTATTGTTGTGGTTAGACCTTTGTTGTGAATTAAAGGTCTTTCCACCATTACTTCCATGGCTAGATCATCCATTGAAAACATTTCCCCCCTGATTTCTTTGATTATTTGAGCTTTCAACTTGTTCATAGCCTTGGTAGCCTCCTTAACTTTGTGAACCTGAAGAACTTCCTTGAACATACATTGCAGACATTAAGTTAGACAAGGTATTGAGTTTTGACTTAATACTTCCCTCAACACCAAGAAGCTGAGCCCTGAAAATTTTCAATAAAATTGGAGTTTCCCTTGCAAGAATTACTGTCTTGATCATCTCAAATTCTGTTGGCAATCCAGATAAAGCAGCAATCACCAAATCATTTTTAGTGATCTTTTCTCCTGCAACAATTAATTGGTCTCTAATACGCTGCAACCTAAGCAATTTATCTACTGAATCAACCCCCTTTTGTGCAGTATGAAATTCAATCTTGAGTTGATTGATTCTTACAACTGAGATAGATGCATATCTCTCTTCCAAACCTTTCCACGCTTCCTGTGAATTCTCGCAGCCAAGGACATGATCCATAACTTCATTCGAAAGTGTTGCAATTAACAAACTAAACAAGAAAACATTTTTCTTGACCAATTCATTATAGGTTTTAGTAATTTCTTTTGTCACACCAGCATCAAAAAGATCATATCCCCTAAGAACCGACTTAAAACTGAAAGCTCCACTTTACAAAGTTATCTTCTTGTAGTTTGACAGTAATCATACCCAAAAGACTCTCAATTTTAACAGAATTGAACGCCATACTTTCAACAATTCAATATACTTTTCACAAATGCACAGGAAACCCTCTTACAAATTCACACTATGTATTCAAGATTTCTTTGGCATATAACCAATTCTATCAGCTACAACTTTCAACTAACTTGCTGACATGGCAATGCTGATGTGGCACTGATGCTGTGGCAATATCTTTTATCTTCAACATTCCATACGTTCAAGATAAGTGCACGTGATTCCGGTTCCCACTCGAATTTATAAATGTCCAAATGACTTGAACATTAGTTCAAGATAGTAATTAATATATATTTTTATGTATATCAAAAGCTAATAATAAGAAATAGTAATCACTAAAGTGTAGAAAGTTGAGCTAGTTTCCATCGTAAAATCAATTGGTAATAAAGGGAATAACACAACCTCTTATAAGCCCTTGCAAGGTTTCTCCTTTCAATGATATGTGACTTTCTCCTTTCAATAAGAAATAGGAATCACTAAAGTGCAGAAAATTGAGCTAACTTACATCATAAAATCACATATAGCAAATTTTCAAGCCAAATACGTGGATAACACGAATTGAGTGATATGAAGCGCGTGTAGCCATTAAGGTTCACACGTGGGCTAATCTGCTCTGATACCATGAAGAAAGTTGAGGTTCCACCATAAAACCAATTTGTAATATGAGAAGTAGTACAACCTCTTATAAGCCCTTACAAGTTTCTCCTTTTAACGATGTGAGAGTCTTACCTTTCCATCCTCACAAATAAATCCACCACAATTCATTCGTATAAAACCACTATTTCAAAACCTTTAGAAAATATAAATTCGATAATCAGAAATATTTCGTAAAGCAATCTCTGTAAAACACAATTTTCTAACCGTGAATATGAAATTCCATAAAGCATAATACAAGGCATGTTTATATCATGAAATTTAAAATGCACGCTAGACTAATAGTTATAAAATATTCATTTAAGAAGGGGTTCACTCACCGATGATGAGAGTATAATCCACCATAGGTGCCCCATAATTCAACTTTGTATCATAACATCGCACCTATAAGATAACACTTAGCTTTACTAAGCATACTTTAACATTGTACAAATTCTAACACCAAATAAGGGTTTAGGATTTACCCAATCACAGATTAAGGATGAAAGAGGGTAGATTTGTCTCAGATTTCACCGGAGTTGCACTGGTGTGGGTTCGCTGGTTTCTGGAACTGATTGCAGAGAATGAACAGAGGTGAAACACCTCGGTTTCACATGGGTTTGCACTAGAATTTCACCAGAAATTCAGATAATTTCCTCATGGCATCATAACAGATGAAATCGAGTCAAATTCACTTCGATTCGACATGAACATGTCGGATTTCCATTGCCGGTTTTCTGGGAATAAAACAAAGATGCATGCAGGTGTGAAATCGAAGATTCATATTCCAAAACCTTACAAAAATCTCACAAAACTGTCATAGGTCCGACCCCATTAAAATTCTAACAAGGATTCGCTTTGAACTCTCGGATTTCCTCCGGAGTTCGTTACCGGAAAAACTGAGAATACATGCACAGATATACAGAGGTTAAACTTCTCGAATTTAAACTTGAAATTAACACGCAGAGCACGGGTTAAGCTACCTGAGTTTCGAACGGGACCAATTCGAGCTCATGGGACCCCAAGTTCGACGGGTTCCTCGCCGGAGCTCCATGCTAGAAGCTGGGGTGAAGAACAAATAATCACAGAGGTCAGAGACCCATATTTTCGAACCCAGATTTAATCCAAGATGCTAGAAGGCATTCAAAGGTTGTAGCTTGATTCCATTAGAGCTACTCTCACCGAGAACCCCTGCTTGGATTCTCCTACTTCCCATTACATAATTTAACATACCACGGTACCATAGGGATCCCCAGGTTGCGCAGGTTTTGTATTTGGTGGTTTGGGGTCTCGATTTAATTAGAATCTGTGGTGATGGTGTCTCGAGCTCTCGTTGGGCTATGGTGATGTGGAGAGAAGAGAAGACAGAGAGTTTGAAAAGAGAGAGTGAGTTCTAGAAGGTGGAAGGTGGAATGTGTCACGGGAGGAGAATGGATCAATGGGCCGGTTACAAATGCTACACAGTGGTGGGTCCCACACCTAAATTTTGAAAACAGGTTGTTACAACATGTTTCGTTTTTATATAAGAAAAAAAAATGAGTTTTAACGAAAAACTCAAGGTACTATTTATTTTAACGAAAAATTACATTTTTATACTAAAAAGTCAATTCTGATACTATTCACTTTACCCTTTATTTTGTCATTGTCATTCAAACTTAAAGTTTTCAAACCCTTTTCATTAGTTTTCTAAAAAAAAACCCTTGAAGACCTTGGAAATATTATTGGCATTCAATAATCTTATTTTGCATTCTTTATGATTGTATTTTTCCTTTTTAAGTATAAAAAGTTTAGAGTACAAAATAAGAATTTTAAAGTACCAATAATAATTTTTTTTTTTTTTAAATCATTAATTTTTAACCAAAAGCATTAAAGGTCTTATTTTTGTGTCAAAAAATGACACGTGACATTTGAAGAAGTGAAAATGTTCGAATAGAAATATTTATGCCACTGTTGCTAGCACTTTTTCCCCTAAAATGAAGAAATATTTCCCTTTATGCATAACCCATTAAGTGATAAATAAACAGTAGCAAAGAGCGTAATAACCCATTAAGTGATAAATAAACAATGGCAAAGAGCGTGCGACCTTTTTTTGGATTATTTCTTCCATTGTCATCTGAAACTCGACATCATTCTCATTTTCTGCCCAAAATGCAGATTTATCATGATTAATGAAATGAATTAAAGTCATGATTAATTTAGTAATTAACGTCGCCACTCACTCTCATACACGTCTTCCAGTAGTTCATATATAATCAAACCGCTTACCATACATCAGTGGTGCTGCTTAGATATACTAATCAAAACTCAGTTGATTCTGGAACCAAAAATAAAAACATTAAGAAACTTTGGTTGGTTGCTGCTGTCTAGAAAGTGTTAAAAATATTTGAAGCATAAAAGTTTGAAAACATCTGAAATTTAACGAACAGATGAAGTAGATGAGCAAGTGCTTAAATAAAAAGTAGAGGGCATAAAAATGAGAACAACCCTAACACGCATGAACTGAATACGAAAGTAGTTTGTTACTTTGTTTATCAAGTTTATGAGAACGAAATAACTGCCATACTTTTTATGATGTAATGTAAGGGTTCTACTTCTATGCTACGAGTATTGGATGGGGTATGGATTCACGAGACCGAGACATTTTTTAGTGTGTCGAGAACACGGCTTGGTACACAAGCTGTAATAATACAATTGGTTGAAAACTTGAAAAAAAAATTTCTAATCAATTATATTATGACATTTAGTATATTGAGCCGTGAAAAATTTATCTACCAAACCATTCTAAATAATCCAATGCTTGTAGTGTGAAAACTAAAAGGAAAATGGAGTTTGCAGATGAATATAATTTCTTACGTAATTGACTTGATATTGAATCATACAATGATACATGGCTTTATACAGTAAAAGGAAGTCTACTCTAGGTAAATACATCCTGATTGCTTGATAATTACATTAGGATCCTAGCTATAATCACTCTAAGTGAATCGTTGACTTATTTTCTTTCCTTAAACATGTAGCATGAAAAACATTCCCGTAATGTAACTTTGAATAATATTTTATTCACTAAAAAAAATAAAAATTTTACAATCGGGGCGATCCCTGATGGGTCCTAGGTGGCCGGCTCATGGGACTTACTTTCCTATTCCAGGTGGGTTAGATACTATTGGTACGCCTATTTGCGCCCCTTTCTTTGCCAAAATGGTCTCCATTTGCATTTGCAGATGCTGCGACCTACTAATCATCATCTTCCCTGCATCATATGCAATGATAAGAAGAAACTTCCATCATTAGTTGACATATATAGATGTTAAAGGCTGGTTACCTTTTCACTTTTCTAGTTTTTATTTTTAATTTTTTTTAATTTGTTTGAGAACTAAAAATTGAAATAAAAAAATAGAAATCAAGACAAATTTTAAATATTAAAAAAGTAGCTTTTAATTTTAATTTAAAAAAAAATCGCAAATGAAATATTTATCAGACCTAAACAAGAATTCAATTTGTGCATGAGAGAGAGAGAGAGAGAGAGAGAGAGAGAGAGAGAGAAAGAGAGAGTAACTGTGTATTGGATCTTCAGAAACATTGGCAAAGACTAATTCTGATGAAAACAATAGCAATAGAAAGAAGGGGATCATGTAAACGCTGCAGGCCTTGCGAACCATTTTAATTACTTGAGATATGAAGTTTGGCTCCTTCGTTCCCGTAGCTATTAGCTAAGCCAGCCCTTTTTATATATAATGCGACCTAGGCTACACCACATATATCTAAACGCGTTTTAGCCTTTTTTAATTAGTACTTATTTGGCATTGAACTGACTACTGCATGCTAAGTCAAATATTAATGAGACTAGTTCAATCTTTCATACAATGGAGCTCGTATATGTACGTGATTCGAATCCCCACTCAAATTTAAAACCAAATGACTTGGACACAAGTTTGAGATAATTAATAATATATTGACGTATATTAAAATATGAGAATGTGAAAGTAAAAGAGTCTAGCATTGGTAAAAGAAGAAATATTGTAAGGACTTATTAGATATTGAGCTATATTCCAAATTGCCAATTGGTTTTATTAAAAATAACTTTAAAAAAATTGACACGCAGGACCCGTGCATCCTCACACATATTGTTTATGAAACTTACTACACTATTTATGAAATTTAACGGTACTCCATTATTTATGAAATGTACTACACTATTTATGAAACTTACTACTTTGTTTATGAAACTTAACGGTACTATACTGTTTATGAAACTTAACGGTACTACACTGTTTATGAAACTTAACGCTACTACACTGTTTATGAAACTTAACGCTACTACACTGTTTATGAAATTTATTTAACACTCGCTGGGCACACATGTTTATATTTTATGTTTTTCTTCTTTTTGTCCTTATCATTAAATAAAATTATTAGATTATTTTTTGTTAAAATGTAAAGTTTTGAAGTCAGTTTCATTAATTTTTCTTAATTATAAAAGTAGAAAGCTGGACAATGAATTAGCTTCCAGTTAAGGATGAACACCCAGGCTAGTTCAAGAAGGTGATTAGTTTTTGTGTACGCAAGTAATACTTATATCATGCTCGTATACATATGTTCGTATTAGACTTGTGGAATGGTACGTACCTGCTCCTTCTAGCTATTCCGTCTCAGCTTGCAATGTGATCTCATTATTTGTAGTAATTTAAAGATCATTTCTGCCAAATAAAAATAATTAGTTGACGTAGATGCTAAAATAGGTGGGCACTGATTAGTTGAATCAGTTCTTATTTTATACGTAAACACACTAAGCATTTGATTGTATTAAATAGTTTTATTCGATGTCTAAAACGACATGTCAAACGAGACCTAAATATTGCATGATAGTCAAAATCTCTGTCATTCATCAATTATATATGACAATTCCAGCGCGTTCCTTACGAAATATTGAAAACCTATATCGACTATTGTTTAAGAAACTGATACAACAAATCCGAACTCATACACACGGGACTCGTACAGTTTAATTTGTTTAGTATTACACACGTTAGTTTTGTTTAGTATTACACACATCATTTTGTTACAAATAATATTGTTAATAAGAATTTAGCGACAATAGACAGAAAGAAAACCTAACTAGAGAGAAAAGAGATAGTCCTACACCGTAGCCGTTAGGGAGATCATCTTTTTAGTCCAACCATTAATTATAACTTCATGTGATTTATAGAATATGATATAAGAAAATAACCTCTGTAGCATCCTTTTTTTTTCAAATTTAAAATCAAATTACAAGAAGATCAGGCGCGATGTTTTGCTGACTAAATCAAGATTATATTTTATGTTGTGATTGGTAAGTTGAGAAGATACTCATTATTTGTGTCATTTTTGCTCATCGATGTGATGTCTTTTGCAACTGGTTTGAAAAGCCAGTTATTTTTTGTTTGTATATTATATTGCTTATGTAAGAAAATAATAAATATTGTTATTCGTGATGAAATAACGTGTTTCAGTTATGAGAACATTTCAATAAAGAAATGTCTTATGAGGTTTCAATCTCGAATGTCTCTTTCAAAAAAATAAAATAAAATAAAATTTGATTGACCAACGTAATTAACAACTTTGTCAATGACTCAAGCTCAGGAAGTGGATAGAAAAAGTCTAACATACTGAACTAGAAAATATATAGGATTTTTATCACAAATGATCTTTGAAATTGACTCTCACCATCAAGATGGTCCTTGAAATTGAAAATCGATCAATGTAGTCCCTGAAAATAGGTGTCGCAAATTAATGTCGTCATTCCGTCACAGTTCTATTAAAAATTCTGTTAAGGACTGATGTGACACTTAAATGGGTCTCATAAGTCATTTTTTAATCACATATGGTTCTTGAAATTGACCTGCAACATCAAAATGGTCCCTGAAATTGACCCAATACATCAAAATGGTCACTGAAATTGAAAATCGACCAATGTAGTCCCACAAGTAAGTGCCTCAATCAATGTAGTCATTCTGTCACAATTTATAAATTTTTTTGTTATGTGCTAATGTGACACATAAATATGTCACACAAGTCTAATTAAATTAAAAAAAATTATAAATAGATTTAATAATTAATAAAAAGGTTGTCAACCCAAAAACCTAATCTCGCAATCACTTCTGATCTCAATCCACATTCCTCTACATCCATCTATGGTAGTCTTCGCTGTCTATTCTCTAGAGAAAAAAAATTTCTCAATACACCCATTTTTATACACTTTGACACCCTTCACCTAATTAGACTCGGATCGATATCACATTTGGTGAGGGCTTGGATTGGCGACAACTTCTGTGACATCACCGTTAACATTTAGGTGATCAACATCCTCACCATCTTGGAGAGCTTGTTGGGTGCTCCCTTGGTGGTCTGGTGACGCAAAGAACAACGAGGTTTGCCTTGAGATAATAAGGTTCTAACCAAGACACGTTTATTGTTGGTTGACAATTATTTCCAAACCCCGTCTTAGACCTTGGTTAAGCCTTGTGCCTTTGAGAATTTATAGAAAAGATATGTCTTTGGAGTAGGCCTACTATAAGAAGAAAAAAAAAATCCATTATGCAAAAAAATATTTAGACAAAAATTTTAATTAATTATTAAATTATTAACCCACATCAGCACATAATAATTTTTTTTACAGAATTGGGGTAGAATGACCATATTGATTTGTAACATCTATTTTCAGGGATTACATTGATCAATTTCAAGGACTATCTTGATGGTGTGGGTCAATTTTAGGGACCATTTGTGGTAAAATTTTGTGGGGTCCATTTATGTGCATATCAGCACTTAACAGAATTATGAAGGAATGACCACATTTATTTACCAGAAGTTTGGAGTAGAACTATTGTATTTGACTCAATTCCTCTCCAATTTATCAAAAATATTAGCTAGGGTTCTATTATATTTGGAAAATTGAGAAATTTTGAGAAAGTTATTAGGGTTATATATATATGAGATAGGATCAAGGAATAAAGATTTTGGTAAATACTTTTACACTTTTTAAGTCTTCAAATTCATAACATCTAAGGGTACTCATTTATTCGTTAAATGACATGAATGCTTATGTGAATTTTAAATAATATTAAAGAGAAAATATAAAACTGCAAAAGCATAACATTTGGAAGGAAATTAAAAAAAAATACTGGAAAGGAAGAACCCTGTAAACATGCAAACAAGGAAGAAGGTAGAACTCCATTGATTCAAAGCATTTTATTTGTCAGTCTTAGTTCTCCTCACTCTTGGGATAAAAAAAAAAATTATCTTGATTTTATTTTCTGTGAAAATGTGAAAGTAAAAGAGTCTCACACAAATGAAAAGAGAAACCTTGCAAGGGTTTACAAGAAGTTAGGCTACTCTCCATGTTACAAATTAATTTTATAATGAAACTCCAACTTCTTTATTTCCAAGCAATAAGACTTTTATCTAATGCAAGTGCCAGACATAATAATCTTTAGAAAACAACTAGAAATAGTGCCCGCATGTTGCTGCGGGATTAGAAACCGTATAAAAATATGTTTCAAAGCTATAAAAATTGTTACACCATAACATCCAAAGAGTGTAAATTGGGCAAATGTGGCTGTTGGAAGTCTTTGAACCACTGTATGAATGAGGCTCTTGGAATTCTTTGAACCACTATATGAACAATATGATATGTAAGTGATTGATTGTGTAACAATAGTTAGTAAAAGTGAGTGTAAGAGTATCATTTATGAAACTATATTTTTGGGACCAGTTTATGAAAAATTGTAGTGTCCTGATACACTCAATGGTTTCAAAATCAATAAAAAATGCACGACAGAATAGATACACAAAAAAAGTAAAAACCATAAGTTTGAAAGACATGAGTAATTGTTGGATTAAAATGCATGCGTAATTTTTGGGAAAAGATGAGAAAAATAACTGGAATGTTGGGAAACTTTGTGTTGTTGGCTTTCATCCCACAAAGTGTGACGACCCGTCCCTAATTCTACAATTTTATAAATTCTAAAAGTGTGAATTGACAGAAATGCCCCTAGAGGCAAGGATTTTGACTTCTGTTGACTTTCGTTGACTAGTGTATTGTGAGATGTATGAAATATTCTTTTAGCATATCTTCGTAGTGCTCATCACTACGAACACATAGGCACAATCAGAATCGAAATCGGTGCTACGGTTAAAATTTTACAGAACTACAAACGTGGATGGCGTTTTAGTAATTTCACGTTTGCGGAAAATATTTTTGCATTTTTCTATTTTTGGTCTTGTTTGGTGAGTCAGTTGCGCCCACACCACTCCCCCCTTCACCCTCGTGTCCCCCTATTTTTCTGGAGTTCTCACTCTCTTTCCCTCATTTTCAAACTCTCTAGAACTCTCTCATCTTAAACTCTCTCTCATTCTCGGTAAAAACCAATGCAGCAGTGCACTACACAACCATCACTCCCTGGCTCCAGCGATCCCTTAGAACACTTGAACCACACTAGACCACCATGTTATATCCCTCTTTGTCTCCCTCTTGTTCTACATCTTTCCCCTTTAACCTCCATGTTGTCTTTCTCATCTCTACAAACTTAGGACAGTCGTGAGGCTGAGGTAATGATCATTGCCATCTTCCGTGGCAAATGATCATCAAACCAACATTCTTAGGATATCCTCTCATCTGAAACCTAGTCCTAGGTTTAGTTCCAGACATCCGAACGGAAATGGCTCTCGGATCATGGAGCT